AAACCCCTCAATGTTTTCATTAAATCTGAGAGATTGTCAGCTAAATAAATACTTTCTGAATTTCAAAATAAGGTAACTGGTATTAGCTTATACATAAAAAAGTGAGTTTATTGAGGACGCAATCGTGAAAATGGCTGTATTAATATGTCATTCAGTGCGGAGTAGATAATAACCTAATAGACATACATAATCATGAGATTATTTAAAGAGGCCCTATTTGTCCTCATGCCACACTATACTGTATTATTATCTTATTTATGATATTGTGTTTGGCCAATTGTATACAATTCAAATAATGACTGTTTTTCCCCTGAACCTCAGAGAGATACAATTGCTTAGATTATCAGAATCCCAGCTTCACTAGTTATTAAATAAGTTATTTTGGGCAGGTTTTTAAATTTATCTATGCCTCATTGCCTTTATCTATAAAACTAGAGGCCCGGGGCATGAATTTGTACACCAGTGGGGTCCCTCAACCCGACTTGCAGGATCAGGCCAAAACTGCTCTCTGACTTTCCCTGAGGGGTCCTGGATTGTGAGAGGGTGCAGGTCAGGCTGAGGGACTCCACTGGAGCATGATCAGGGCTGGGGAAAGATGTGGGAAGTGGGCCAGCCTGTGAGGGACCATGGAAGGGCTCCAGGGCATGTCCAGCCCATGTCACCCAGTCCCAATCAGCTGGACCCCGAAGCAGCAAGCTAACCTACTGGTCAGAACATCTGCCCTCTGGTGGTCAGTGCACATCATAGTGAGCATTGAGCTGCCTTAGCATATCATTAGCATATTAGACTTTGAATGGCAACCAGACACTTAGGTTATTAGGCTTTTGTTATATAAGATAGGGATAATGATCACACATATTTCATTAGATTCTTGAGCATTAAAAAATGAGGATATGTGTAAAATACTGGGAAAAGCTCCTAGTACTTAATCAGTCATCATCCTGATCTTCCTCTTCTTCCTCTCCCTCTTCTTCTCACCCCTCTCCACCCCCCCCCCCCCCTTCAAATCTTCATATTAAATGGGCTTTGATCTGTACAGGAAAACCTCACATGCTCTGGTTGACAGTGGAGGAGTAACTCTGATTTTCACTCTGATTACTAAGCTAATATCACTCAGTCCTCAATCTATTCTATGTTCTGTTTTGAGATGCTGGCTTCTTTTAAACCCCAAGCAGTGGGACATGACACTGATGTAAGTGTTGAGTAAAGAAGGTCCAATAAAAATTCACATATGAATTGCCCTGGCCAGTGTGGCTCATCCTGTAACCAAAAGGAAAAGACTGGGTGCTGATGCCAAGTCAGTGCACATATCCAGGTTGTGGGTTCAGTCCCTGTGGGGGCATCTTTGGGAAGCAATGGATTGATGTTTCTCACATCGAAGTTTCTCCCCCTCTCCTTTTCTCTCTCTCTCAAATCAATAAAAGCATATCCTCAGGAGAAGATTAAAAAATTTACATTTGAATAAAGTGACTCGAGCTGAAGTATAAACCTTAATAAAATCAACAGACTTAATAAATACTAAGTAATAAAGTTAATTGATAGCTAATAATATTAGAGAACTTTGTAAATAAAATAGATAAACTTAACAAAGTGACTGAAGGCAAATATGAGATTTAGAGCTGAAGTAAAATTTCTCAATTGAACAAATTATCTCATCTGATTTTTAAAGATAATATCTTGCCTATTTTTCAAGATAATAGCATCTTAAGAGAGAAACATGGGAGAAGAGGAAGTCAAGGGCACCCAAAAAAGGACTCTTCGAGGCACATGACTATGTGGAAGCCAATAGGTCAGAACCTTATAAATATTTCAGAGGATTATAGCTGTAAAATACCACAATCTCAGCATTATGAGTCTTAAAATATTTAAGACTGAAAACAACTCAGTCCCATAATGTTCCCCTAATAGGAACAATACTTAAGGCTATGCAACCCTCAATAGGCACTTGAAATGTGGACAAAAAGAATAGCATAAAAGGAAGAACTTCTCAGGTAGGCATGACGAGAGGCTAGCGAGAACCATGGACATGGGAGATGGACAAACCTCTTCAAGGATCCTCCCTGACCTCTGGGTTAGGAAGACTTTACAATGTCTGTTCAGTAGGATTCCACCTTTGGTTTTCACATGTATCTCATTTCTTTCTTCCCCAGCAGGAGTGTTTGTTGTGGTTTCCCTCTTCCTATTCCTTAATAGCATATTCAAATGCATGGTCAGAACTGGTGCAAAATACAAATAATTTATTCATAGGGGTTTTAGTATGATCATTATTTGATGAGGACAATGAATAAGTAGAGCTCACAGACTGAAATTTTTTTAGTTATCTCTCTTGGAATGTAATAAAATCTTTTTCAGGAGAGAGTGGAAATATGACATGAATATTTAGCAAATAGAAAGGTGGGCTGTGGCGGAAAGGGGATGCTCATTAATTCTACCTGCTTTTCCTGGCCACCTAGCTGCCTAACATTTACCTGCCTCCTTTACAGTTCAGATGGGGCCATGAGACTAGGTTCTGTGCAATGAAAGGATGTCCACACATTCAAGTCTGCTCTATAACAGTCCATGCACAATGGCTCATGTGGTCTCTACCCTTTCCTCAGTGAGCCAAGAGGTCATGGGCTTAAAAGAAGGCAGTGGCAAAAGATGAAAGGAATCTATATCTTTGAATCATCATTTGACAGTGAAACATTGAGGAGTGCTGCCTAAGAGACAAGGGCTATGACATGAGAAAGAAATACTTGATTTGTTCATGTTTTAAAAAAATAATTTTTTGAGGTTATGTTACAATGGCTAATGTTTATCCCTAACACAGCATTAGATTTTAAAAGATTAATTATTATATTTAATAAAATTGGTAACTTGATGTTTTCTTCTTTCTGCTCAAAGTATTTGAATAGGAAGAAAATGCTATCCAGACAGTGAGATAGTGTGGTACAGCAGAAAAAGCCTTACCTTGAGAAACCTGGCTTCAAGTAATTCTTTTATCATTTACTAGTTAAGTGACACTTGTGGAGCCAATTAATTTCCTGGGCCACAGTTTTTATACATCTGTAAAATGAAGCTAATATTACGTTACCCAATTATAAGAGAAATCCAGGCCAAATGTTTGCTCAAGATTTTTTATGGTTTGATCTATGGTTCTATGAAACAGGAATTAAGCACTAAAGCCACTGTAATGAAAGCAAAGAAGTCATTTTAAAATTTTTAGCTACCACATGATACCTGACAAAGTCTAACTACATGAATAAATATTGTGTAACATGTGTTTTAACTGCATTAACTCATTCTAAGCAGTCTTATTGGAAATAATTTATAGAAGAGTGAGATGAATCAGGGCAGATGATAATTTCAAAGAATTTATGTCTCAGAACTTTATCTAATCATTGTGTATACATTTCTCCAGATGCTCAGCCCTTTTCCCACAATCTAAGATACTGAAATTTAAGGAAGACTCCCCTTCTACGTTTTGCCACCTGAAAGCCTATTCCTTGAGATGTTTTTCTCTTGATAGCCATTCAACAATGTCTGCAAAGATCACCATTTCTATGTAAAAGTAATAGAAATTATCAAATGACTCCAAAGTTAAAAGCAAACCTAAACTCTTTGCTCATATTTAATTATGTATTTACTAGAGGAGTGATGCATGAAGATTCATGCAAGAATGGGCCTTTCTTCCCCTGGCTTCTGGCACCACCTAGGCTCCAGCCTAGTGTTGCCTTTCTGCCTTACCATGCTGCCCAGAGGCCAGAGCAGCTGGGGTGGTACAGAATGCCTGTGTCATCGCCATCCAGCTCCCTTCCACTCAGCACCTGTGTATGCAAATTAACCCTATATATTTGTTGGGTTAATTTGCATACTCACTCCTGATTAGCTGATGGGTGTTGTGAAGGTACAGTCAATTTGTGTGTTTCTCATTTATTGGTGTAGATTAACTAATACATTAGGCTAATAAAAAACACTGGTGCCTTTATGAAATGGTAAAACAATTATAATATATGTCTTATGTTGAAATAAAACAGAGAGACTACCGTATTTTTCGGACCATAAGACACACTTTTTTTCCCCCAGAAGTGGGGGGAAAAAGTCCCTGCATCTTATGGTCCAAATATAGCCTACACATATACTTTAAAAAAAAAAGTTTTTTTACTTGCCCGGCTCTGTGTGGTCTCTGTGTGCTTGCCCAGCTCTAAAATGGTTCTAAATGCTGCTGTTTACTTTACAGGGTTGATTACATGTGTTTATGACTGTGATGTTGGGTTTTAATGCACATAAAATATTTTAGGAAACTATTTGTTTCAGAATCTTTTTTCTTTATTTCCCTTCTCTAAAAACTGGTGAGTCTTATGGTACGAAAAATACGGTAAATAGAATTTTCCTTCTTTAAATCAAAATGAAGAATGTTATAGCCAAAACCTAAACAAAGAGCTTTTAAAATATTCTTTTTCTATTGAGTTTTCTTTTCCTAATCACTGGGAAATAATGGCTAACTGAAGCTAAGCAATTAAACCTAAAGCTGAAAATTAAACTAAAAAAAGTATATTATTTAATTGCCTTCCAATCACTTTTGCAATTACTTAACTCATAATTTTATATAAAATTAAAATTTTTGAATCCCCTTTCCAGACATTTTTGGAATATATATTAAAAAATATGATTCTTGTTTTTCATTGTTTTTGGATAACTCTACCCATTTTGTTCCATTGATTCCATTACACAAGTATAGAATACAAGGTCAAATTTTAAATATCTCTTATTCATCCCTAACATAATGGAAGAACAAAGAAATAGAAAAAAAATTAAACTGAATCAAACATGATTATTATACGACATAAAGATATTTCTATTAATATCCATTAACAAAACTGAATCTAAACAAACAATAAAATACAAATGCATATACTACTGTAAACAAAAATAATGTGTTCTTAGTCATTCCTCTCCCCATTTCCTTAGCCTTCAATTTACATAAAAGCTATTTTGAGGTAAAGTAACTTTTCACTCACCAATGTGGAGGTTTGTGAGGCATCAGTCAAATCCCCTGAGATCTCGGGAGTTCGCGTGTTGTTTGGGATTCTGTGAGGGTTACGGGCTATCGCTTCGCACCAGCCCAGCATTTTCTCCTTCCTCTTATCCCTTTTCAATTTCTGAAATTCTGAAAATAATTTACATTCCCTGAAACAAGTCATGTATTTTAATTGTCTGTTTTTGGAAAAATGAACATGATTGAAATTAAATAAGCAATTTAATAAAATACCAATGGAGAACATTTTATTTTAACCAGAGTTTATGGGGAGGAAAAGAAGAATATGCTGATTATTAATAACATCACAGAGCCACAGGGGAATGAAACTTTACAGGTATATTCAATGAGCCTAAATGTACATCCCAATTTGTGACCCTTCTTGACTGTGGACATTTCTTTCATCAGGTTCTAATTGTTATTTCCAGGGATCAGTTTATAACATGAAATTCTTAACTTGGGAGCTAAGAACAGACCCAGTTCCCTATATATTTCCATATTTCAATGACACCAAAAATTTGACATAGCTTTTCAGCTGATTGGCCTACAGATACAGAATGAATCGAACACAGGCGAGTGGCAAAAATTACTCATTTTAGCAATGCCATTATTATCTCCCTTATAAAGTTCTTCCAACTAAAGAAGGATAAATTTTAGTACAAACATGGTAAACTTTGTATATTACATTGATCACCAGTATAATCTATTAAAATAATGATCTTTAAAATCTCCTTATTATCTCATGAGTAAAAATATTCCACAAACCTAGCTTTCCAGAATTTCCCATTTGGGGGAATTTTTCTTCTTTTGGCTTTGAAAAAGCTATATCAACAATGTCTTTTAACATAATGAAAAAAACATTCTTTTCCTGTAAAGTTTTACAGCCTACTTTTCCACTTCAGCACTCTCAGTAATTAGAAATAGTTTATTTCGGGTCTTTAGTTAAATGCATTACACTGTCAATTAAATATCAAAAATAATGTGGAGTAATTATTTTTCACAGCACCGAAAGCAATTAGCAATCTGGTGGTTTATAACATTTCAGGATTCAATATAGCACATTTCATAGCACAAAGAAAAGTAACACAAAGAAAGGTTGCACTAACAGATTGATGAGTTATTACTCTAAATGACAAAATACTCAAGTTAAATGGATCTGAACAATGTAAATAGAGAAGTTATAAAATAGACTTTCATAAAAATTAAGTCTAAGATACTCAATGGAATGGATTTCTAAATTAGACTGGTAATCTGAGTGAGTCATTCATCTGAGGTACAGGGAAATTGTAAGGGAGCTTGAAAACAATTATTTGAATGAGCAACAAATTATATTTATTAATGCTTGCCCTTTCAAACACATTGCTTAAGATTTTATTAAAAATTCATATCTATGTTCTAGAAAATCTTCATAACCAACTAATTTGCACTCCATGAAAAGTAAATATTTCTGCATTCCCGACACAATATCTTGGTTACTCATCAATTTTAAATTACATTTCTTGAAGTGTGCTAAGAGTAAATTAAAATTAGTATCTTTATTCAAAGGCAATAAATGCCATGAAACATAAGGACCAAAACAATTTAATCAAGTATAAACAAATGTTCCACTTGCAAGTCATTTGGATTTTTTTGTGTGAAAATTTTATCTCTATATAATTAAATATACTTCAGTAGTTATAATAAAATGTTGAATTCATGCACGAAAATAAAGCATAATAAAGTGACCCACAAAATGACATCATCATTACCTATTCTGGGATATGTTTTTAAAGGTTGCCAGTTTCTTATTCCCCAATCAGTTTCTGAAATTAAATAAAGCAGTTTAATTTAATTTGTAGCATGGTTTTGTAGTGATGGTGGTGTCCATAGCTATGTCCCTCCTAATTCAGTCAACATTAATCCACAAGTATTTATTAAACTCCTATTATAATATAGGTACTAAAGAAGGCACAGAGGAGTCCCAAGATGAGAGTTACTTTCATTTTGGATATGAGTTAAATTCAATGCAATATTCTAGAGAATTTCAAAATCCAAGAATAATTAAGATCTTTCTGATTCACTAAATTTTGTATTTGTGAATTTATTGTTTATCTTCAAGGTGACTTCTGGCTCCTCTTGCTCTTAGATGTCTTCCCTGAAGTTGGCTTGTGCAAAGCACCCTTTTGAACCATTTTGTTGAATTATATCAACACGCCATCATGACAAGAGTATTAAACTTTTTATTACAATTGCTAAAGGAGTATAATAAAATGTCAACTGCATTCCAGTTTTGTTTTGCAATTATATGTGACAATTATATTAATTCTAGAATGATTAGGTAAGCTATGTAATTCAACAAGATAAATACATACTATTTTTACCTAAACACTGTGTTTATGATAATCACTGAATGCTTACTGTGGAATCTATACTGCTCTCTGTTGTGTCAAAACAAAAAAGATACATGACACAATGCAATGGTTTACAATTGAACTGGGATCTATTCATGGGAATATTTACAAAGAAAACTGAATTTTTGAAATGACAAGAGGAATCTAACTATAGCATTTATTTTAAACTTTTCTTATTTGAATGAAGAATATATGAGAATATAGAAACTGCCTATGATGGTTATAATGCTATTGTTAGGGTCACCAAAGGAGGAAGAGAGAAATTTTGTCTAACAACTTGCTCTGTATAATATGCACCAATGACTTACCCAGCAACCTTAGAATCAATGAATTATATACAGAAGAAACCAATGTTTAAATGGCCTCCAAAGAAGCAGAATGGGTGTAGGCAAATTGAAAAGAGAGAGGTAGATGGGGAAAGCGAGATCCACTACCTCATCCCATAAATTCCTATGGGTAAATAATAGTTGCTCAAGACAATATCTTATTTTCTATTATTACAAAACACTAGAGTTTAGGTCATGTTTCAAAGGAATTTTTTTCCCCACCATTGATGATAAAGTAGAGATTTAGAAATAATATAGGTGAGTTGAGATAACTGAAGGGTTAATAATGTCAATTGTTGAGCCTCTGTAGACCAGCATTCTTCCTACACAGGTCTGGAGTACTCATCATATTTTGAGGTGTAAGAATGTACTGCTAGTCAAGAGTAGGCAAATTATGAGCATCTGCAATTAACCCTAAAGCACTTTAAACTGTATCATTAGTATTATATCAGAATAGAAAAGTAGTCATTAAGCATTCATGTTAATTGCTATCTAACCATTGAACCAAGCTAATATGAGATACAGCAATGAGCAACTTATTGAATGATCACAGGAAATTGAGATTTAACTAAGCTTAATTTTTAATATGCTAGTTCAAGCAGATATTTAATTTAATAAAAGAGGAGCACAGTGCATTCTTGTGAACTAAATTGACAACATTAAAATTAGGAAGAAAAAAATTGCAAGGCAATTAGGTATATTTAATGGAAAATTATTTACTTTTAATTCAAAGAATCATTTACTGAAGACTTCCTTTGTACTAGACACTGTGCTTGGAACTACTGGCACAGGCGTTAAAACCTGAGTTCAGGCATAAGAGGGGAAACTGACAAGCAGATCCACCAACTTTTGATAGTGCGATGAGTTCTGTGAAAACTTTGAGAAAAGTAATCTGACTTAGCATCAACTGAAGGAAAAGGTTGATTTTGGATGTCTCTTCAAAGAAAAGAAAATTACAAATAATTTACATGAGAATTACAGTTATTGCTATTCTAAAGGAGGCTGCCACTACCAGCTCCAGGGGGCACATTCACATGGTAATCAATATAAATAGCATTGGGCTCCAAGGGATATTCTTAATAAAGAACACTGTGTGAATGGATTGCCTGCAGTTGGGCAACCCTGCAGAAAGAAAGCCTAAGTGAAGCTTATTACACTTACTTTACTGAACCCAAGTATAATGTAATTTAACCTTAAAATAAGAACTTTTTCCCCACAGGAAAAAAAAAAAAAAAAATACTGTTGCTTGCCTCTACCTTGCCTCCCCAACTCCTCAACTCTTTCCTTCCTAAAATTTGTCCACTCCTTGTCATATTCAGTAGAGTTAAAGGCCTGGGCAAATACTTTCCCTCTTCACCATACACATACCTGAGAAAGTCCCCACCACCTCTACTCTTACAGATAATCATCCTCAAATTTAAGTCTTCAGTATAGCCTTTGTCTAAAAATGTGAAAGGACTTTTCACTTGCAAACATGAGACATTCGGCTATATATTTCTTTAGCTGGAGTCATTAAGATACATCTCTCCAGTATTGAACACTGTCTTCCCTGAGAATAACATTTGAAGTTCAATCTCCATTATGAAAGAAACAACTTGCAAATAAGGGAAGGAAGGGACAGTTAGAAATATGCTGCCCTTGCTCATTTAAAAAATTAATGTTTTTGAAAATTAATGTTTGTTCCTTGGAGGGGTGTGCATGTGTGCATGTCTGTGTGTGTGTGAATATGTGTGAGAGTTCCAAAAAGTACTTTCTAGATTAGGGGTGTCGAACTCAATCAGAGAAGGGGCCAAAATCTAAAATCCAGCCTAAATCGCGGGCCGAATTGTTTACTGAACAGTCATAAACTGTCATTGTGATGGAAACGCAGCAGAGTGCAGTGATGACAGCACGGTGCGGGCCACATTGCAAGGCCTGGCGGGACGGATTTGGCCCGCGGGCCTTGTGTTTGACGCATGTGTTCTAGATGCTCAGAAAACTATAACATGCATGCCTAAAACTCAGACAAACTACTACTCTGGAACTCTGTGTGGTTGTTTTAAAGTACTCACACACAACTATGAATTGTTCTCCAGGACTTGGAGTATTAAGAACCACCAAGAACTGCCTGCTGGGGTGAATTTTGAAAGTCTTTAGATCAGATAGTCTTTAGATAAGATAACGCTATTTCTTTTTTTTTTTTCTTTCTCTCAGTTATTTTATTTTACTTTTTTGTTGCTTTTTTTAAATTAAATTATTATCTGTGTACATATTTTAACATTGCCCTCCGTCCCATCCATACCCTCCCTCCCCAGAGTTTTATGTCCATTGGTTGTACTTATATGCATGTATACAAGTCCTTTGGTTGATCTATTATCACCCCCAGATCTCCCTACCATACCTGCTGTAATTTGACAGTCTGCTTGTTGCTTTACTGTCTCTATATCTATC